TCTATACATAATAAGAACACTGAAATCTGAGTCCAAATGACCCCTCAAATCCTCAATTAAAAGCCTATTAAACTCAAGCCCTAATTACCCATTTTCCTAGATTTCTCACCACTAATTAGGTCTTTAATCATATAAAAACGAGTTATGAAGTCAAGGATGTTACCTCCAAGCGATTCCCCTTTGTTTTCCTCAAAAATCTCTCTCAAAAGTTTCAAACCCAGATGAAAATGGTGAAAGAATCTCTTAAATTCGCGAAGGCAACTATTTATATGTTCTGCCCAGCGATTTCCGCATTTGCGGCCCTGAGACCGCATCTGCGGACACAACGTCGCATCTGCGACTTTCATTAAAATGCCAGCTTCCGCATCTGCGGACCTCTAACTGCAGGAGCGGTTCCGCTTCTGGGAGCCCTTCACCGCATCTGCGGTTCCTGAGGAATTGACACAAAGCCGCTTCTGCGGCGCCGCATCTGCGGTCCCCAAACCGCAGATGCAAAAATACCAGAAGACCAGCTGTTGCAACAACTTCAACTCTAAAATTTCCTCCGTTAACCATCCGAATTCATCCCGAGGTCCCCGGGACCTCAACCAAAGGCGTCAACATATCCTAAAACCTTATTCAAATTTGTACAAATCTTCAAAACACCTTAAACAACATCAAAACAACTAAAACACATCGGATTCAAGCCTAAGTTTCTAAAATCTTCTGAATTCCGCTTTCGATCAAAAACCCAACCAAAACACGTCTGAATGACCTGAAATTTTGCACACACATCCCAAATGACACAACGGAACTGCTGCAACTCTCGGAATTCCATTCCGGTCCGCGGATCATAATCTCACCATCAAACCGGAAACTTCCAAAATTCAACTTTCGGCATTTCAAGCCTAAATTAGCTACGGACCTCCAAAACACAATCCGAACACGCTCCTAACCCCGAAATCGCCCAACGGAGCTAACGGAACCATCGGATTTCCGTTCCGAGGCCGTCTCCACACTGTTTCGACTACAGTCACTTTTCCAACACTTAAGCTCTCATTTAGGGACTAAGTGTCCCAAAACTCTCCGAAACTCAGAATCGAACATCCCGACACTTTAAAATAGCAGAATAAACTTGGGGAAAGCAGTTAATAGGGGATCAAGGCGTTAATTCTTAAGATGACCGTCCGGGTCGTCACAATTTCCCCCTTCTCTCTCTTTTCATCCCTATATTTCCCTCTTTTCTAAAAGGAATATTTTTTCTATTTGGACATTCATGCATCATATGCCCTCTTCTATGACATTTGTGATATTGAATAGACTTAGATGGTTTGGAAGATTTAGGATTAAAAGTTTTACCTTCCTCTTTTTCATCATCTTTCCTCTTGTCTTCTTGAGCTGTAGCAGTCACTTCTTGTTTTGGCCATGACTTCTTGAAATTGATGTTTGGCCAACTTCTCCGTGAGCTAGCTTGTTGCTTTCTTTTTATTTTGCTTTTCTCTCTTTACAACCAATCTACTAACTCATCTGAAGTTATATATTATTGTGTCTCTACTGCATCGGCTATTTCTTTATCTAAATCATTAAGAGATCTAGCCATATTAGCATATTCCTTTTCCATACAATTAGTTTGGATCCTAGCCATATCTGTAGCTTTAAAGTATTCATCAATAGTCATGGTTCCTTGATTCAAGGTCCGAAGACATTGTAGGTCTCTTTGAAAGTGGGAATGCACAAACCTTTGCTGCTTCATCTCGACCCAAATAGCAATGAGTGGTTCTCCATCTTGTTGTTTGTCCCTTGTCAGCCTTTTCTACCAAATAGCAACATAGTTAAGAAAATTCAACAATAGCAAGTTTAACCTTCTTACCTTTAGAGTAGTTATGACAATCAAAGATGCCTTCGACTTTCCTCTCCCGATCAAGGTGCAAGTAAGGATATCTTGTGCCTTTGGAAGATGACACTTTTATCTTTATGCTACTAATATATCTTCTTCTTTCTTACCTCGTTGTCGCCTACTGGTTTTTCTTACCCTATCAAGATTTATATTAACATCATCAACAATATCATCTATAGGGCTTCTTGATTTACAATGAGGGTATGGGATACATACCTTATATTCTGTAGCCTAGAATTATTTCGGGGTTGTACAACATGTTGATTTCCCCTGCTAAGTCCGTCTTGTCTCTCTTTGTTGAACAATGGTGTCCCTCATCTTATGGAATTGTAAAGTCCATCTTTAGTTGTTGCTACATAGCTTGCAGAGTAAATTTCTTTCTTGCTTGGCGCTCGGCCTCTTGAAGAGTCCTCCCTTCATTATCACTAAAGTTGGATAGGATGTGGCCCTTACGTTAGGATTATATTTCCCCCAATTTTTATGAAATACAAGGTGCTCATTGAATGATAGAAAGCTATTTCCACTTGGTATTCAAGGATTGCATGTTCCGTACTAGATTAAACAGGTCTAATTGGAACCAAGACAAAAAAAGTTCTTGTGAAGAAGCCCATGTTTCTTTTGTTGAAATAAGGGCAAATGGGTTGATTCGACATTTACACTATGGGATTAATTGGTTTGAGCCTTTGTATCGAAACTTACTAAGTGATCACTTTCAAATTTAGAGAAACCTTGGAGTTAACAAAAAAATCCTATTTTCTGAAAACAAACAAAAGGTTCAGAAAAAAAGGATAGGTGCAGAGACTTAGTGGAAGCTATTCTAACAAATGGAGTTAATGTGTTGGTAGAGGAATCTTTACATCGAAACTTTTTTATCCTTAAAGATCTAGGATTCCCGTTTCTTGTTTCCGTTTTTGATTAGGAAGCAAAGTAATAAAATTTGATTTCTTGAAGAGCAATATGATTCTCTTTGTTTTTTTGATTGAATTTCGTTTTTTTGACTTTCTTTTTAACTGTTCATGTTGTTGCAATAACTTTTTTTTTTGTTTTTGTTTTTTTGTTTTTTTGTGTTGCTGTTGTGTTCATAATTCGAAAGATTAACAAGAACCGAATCTTGATAGAACAACTCTGATATTACTTTGTAACATAATGGTTGGGAATCTCAAGCTAGAGTATGGTTTGAGAATAAATGTGGAAGCAAAACTAGAAAAGAAATTGAAAAACACTGAAGTAAGAATTAAAGGATATGGGAAAACTCAAGTAAATAGTTCCTAGAATTTCCAAGTACTCAAGTTCTAATGATTTGACAAGATCCAGGTAACAACAAATTAGTTATTGGATGAACTAAACGCCTATACTTGATAAACAAATCAAAACTTAGAATCAAATCTTTACCGCTTTGTGAGCGACGTTAGGCAACAATTAGTACTCGGTTACTAATCGTCTTCTAAGAATACCAAGAAAAAATCGGAGATATCAAAGAAGAAATTACCTTACAATCTGGAACTATGAACTTGTTTAGATTGAAAGATAAAATCCGGAGTAAGATGCCTCAAAGGTTTAAAAGAACTCTCAAATAATAGTATTCATCAAAATTTAAGTTATAATCAAGAACAAAGCACCCCTTTATATAGGAGCATAAAAGGGGGCTGCCAACCCCTTGAAATTACTTTCGGGGTGGTCAAACTAAACTAAATAAGTTGAAATTTCCAGGGGGAGGGGGCGTACAAGGCTCAACTATTTAAGCCTAAAAGGCAGATTCTATAAAGCTAGAGTTAAGCATTAGTTTGGGCTGCTGGACTTGTTCCTTTTTGGATTGGCTTTGGGCCCTAGTCCACCTTCTCTTGGACTTCAATTTGAGCCTCCACATTGTTGTAAGATTTGGCCAAAAGATCCTCCTTGGGCTTGAACTCTTCTTCCACTAGTTTGAAATTTCTTTGTTTGGGATCTTGTTATGGGTTTGTTGGTACTTCCAAATATTCATCTTTGTCATTAATGCCATTGAGCTTTCCATCAGCAATAACAACAATAACAACCCATTAAAATCCCACAAGTGGGGTTTGGTGTGGGCAGAATGTACGCAGACTTTACCCCTACCCCGGAGAGGTAGAAAGACTGTTTCCGAAAGACCCTTGGCTCAAGAAGAATAAAATAAACAATAGACAATAGGTCATTAACAACAACAGAAGCCAGAAAAAAAAGATCAGCGTCGTAAGAAACAAAAAATAGATATAATAGCAATAACAATAACCAGTAATAATGCCATAGAAAATAGTGTAGAAGCTATGTAAACCCCTAACAACCCAAGGCGAAACATTATCAGCCTAGCCCCGCCCCCGGAACAACATAGAAAAACGCTCCTCCCTCATAACCTACAATTCTAATACTCGACTTTCACACCTTCCAATCCAGAGCCATGACCTCGGAGATCTGAAGTTGCGGCATGTCCTGCCTGATCATCTCACCCCAATACTCCTTAAGCCGCCCTCGACCTCTCCTCATACCTTCCAGTGTCAACTGCTCACACCTCCTAACCAGGGCATCTATGCTTCTCCTCCGCACGTGCCCGAATTATCTAAGCCGTGCTTCCCGGATCTTGTCGTCCATGGGAGCCACGCCCACCTTCTCCCAAATATGTTCATTCCTAATCTTATCCAGCCTAGTGTGTCTGCACATCCATCTCAACATCCTCATTTCTACCACTTTCATCTTCTGGGTATGAGAATTCTTGGCTGCCTAACATTCAGCCCAGACAGCATTGCCGGCCGGTCATTGAGCTTTCCATCAATGCTATCAATTGATAGTCAGGTATTGCTCTTGTTTGTAGAAGAGTGTCATCATTGAGCATCTTGTGACATTCTTTTTCAGTACTTGAGCTATCTTGGAGGTGTTAAAAAATAACTAAAATCTGTCCCCAAAAAATAAACTTGACATTCTTGATTTGTGTTTCATGGTGCGAAATCTTTGTGAATTGACTTAGCTCAATTCATGCTTTCTTCTTCACATTTATTGCTTTCATCACCTGTCTTCTAGTTGGTTATCATGAAAAGGTAGTCCTCTTTCATCAGTAGTTATGGAGTCAAAGCATAGCTGATGGTTCATCATTCATGTTGTTATGTTTATGGCATTTACATGGTTTCTATGCTGAATAACTGTCCAGGTTGAACAACTACGCAAATCAGGACTTATCAAAGGGGGTAGCACTGAAAACGCCATTGTTTGTAGGTAAGAGATACTTTCTTTTTCAGTTGTATTTGGAAAAATGCTGGAAAATGTAATTAGGTAACACTTACACTTCATCCAACTTTCAGAAAATTTAAGCAATAATTGATCAAGAGTAAGTAGTGTCAGCTAATGATGCATGGTATGTCTCGTTCTATATTTAATCAGATATAACATGTCTGCTACGATGATACATCCTTATGAAAAATTACCACCACTGTCAACCGGAGGCCATTATGCTTTCTACTAGGTGTATTTTCTTGATTTAACCTCACATATGATATCTCCTCTTCTGCAGTGAAAGTAGAGGCTGGCTGAATCCACCACTGCGTTTCAGTGATGAACCTTGCAGACACAAGGTTTTAGATCTTATGGGTGATCTTTCCCTTTTGGCGCAGGGTGGTAACCAAGGGCTTCCAGTGGCACACATTATTGTCTATAAGGTTTGTTTCTTTGCCTTCCAATTATTTCGTTTTGGTGTTTAATGGTGATGGACCATGGAAAGGATTGTCTAGCAGAAAATGTGACCTTTTCTTAGCCTCTGCCTGATCTGTTGTTTAATCCTTGTTCTCACATCTGCTTTATATGGAGCTTTCAAATCTGGCTGAAACTCTGATTGGCATGGGAGCTTTCTAAAGCCACTGCTTACTACGATGTAGTATGCTGCCTTCTTTAGCAAAGGTTCTTATATGTTCTGCTTCTGTGAAGAGAGGTGAAAGAGAAACTGAATTAAATTCTACTCAGTAAAAACTTTTTCTGCATCTTATTTCTACAATGGTGTTGTATCTGTCCTGAACCTCATTGTTGGGCATCATGAACTTGGTTACCTTCTCGTCATAGTCATAGTAATGCAGGTCCCTACACTACTATAGGCATATGCATAATTGCATATTGTGAGCACTGTCCCAGTCTTTTTGTGTTTCGATTTTGCATTCTCAGCTTTCCTTCCTCTTTTTATTTTTTTAATAGTTTCTGAATAACTTTGCTATTTGGATTAAGTGCGAAGGTTTAAAATGTCTTTGTGCATGTGCTCATGAAGTCATTGGTGAGCTTTGTTGTACGTGTTTTCACAAACGACGTTGACTGGTACTGGAAGTGCAAAAATTTATTATTGATAGAGGGCACTAATCTTGCCATTATGCCCCCGACGTATTGTGGCTGAGACAAGGACATAATCTGGTAACCTCATTTCCGGAGAAAAGTAAAAACAAGACTTTCTTTTTAAGAAAAAGTACATGATATGAGTGATGTCGAAGGCATTGTATTTACAAGGCGGTAATGATGAAATATACTTTTGGATTGCTCAACATTAGATTGATGGTAAACATCTCCTAATATTTGTTGGAGATAGAACAATTTGCTAATAATTTTTCAATTGATTAATTTCAGCTGCTTAAGTAACTTCATATATGCAGGGTGGACATGCACTGCATACGGATTTTGCTCGCTGCTTATCGAGAGTCAAATGAGCTGGTGTGTTGGAAATTTACTAGTTTTGGCGCTCAGTTCTTGTTGTTGGTAGAAGCCTAGTTTTTCCTGACTCCCTGCTGGTCCAGAAGCCGTTAAGACTGCACTTGATTATTTGCTGGACGTTGTCAAATAGTAAGCGAAGTGTTAAGAGTAGGAAGCATGAGTTACATGACCGAACTCGTGACGACATTATCACTTGGATGGTGTAATTGGTAAGACGAGCACTTACGCCTATTCTATTACCCCGACTTTGAGGCATGGTTGGTATCATGACTTGGAGAATGCCGAAGGTGAGGGTCTAAAGAGCCCGTTTCAGCACAACTTTTCAGATATTAAGGTCATTTGTTTACACAAATCATATTAGTTAAAAATCATTGCATTATTATTCTTGTTATTGGATGAGTATGGGGCGGGGTGGATGAAATGGAGGCTTGCTTTTGGTGTTTTGTATGATAAGACTGTGCCACCAAACCTTAAAGGTCAGACTGACTATATTATATGAGACTGAGTGTTGGTCAGTCAAAACTTCCATGTCCAGAAGATGAAGGTGGCAGAAATGAGAATGTTAAGATGGATGTACGAGCATATCAGGATAGATAAAATTAGGAATGAAGTTATTCGGGACAAGGTGTGTGTGGCCCCTGTGTGAGCACCTAATTTTTGATCATATTTTTATTTTCACCATTTTTAATAGGTAAATATTTTTTAAGTTTAATCTAAATATTTTAGCTTTTGTTTCATCTATTATAGGTTTTACTTAAGAAAATAAAAAAAAAAATTAAATCACATTTCTTGTATAAGTTTTATCTTCATTTACAAAGAATATATATATGTATATGTATAGTTTAGTGCAATTTTTAAGTTAGAGACTTTCAATAAATAAATATTAAGTATGTACTAATATTTTTAGGAGTAGATTTTATTTTGTTTACTTATTTTCAAGAAAAGAAAATTAACAAAAAGAGAGCCAATAATAAATGGCCACATGGAAGATTACCTCATATCTCCTCTAACTAATTTACCCATAGAAAAGACCTCCCCAAGTCGGCACTTGCAGATAACCAACCACACACAAAAAAAGGGGGAACCCGTGAAAACAGGGGAAAAAGAACAGAGGCAGGGAAAAACCCTTCTGATGCGTTTCATAGCAAAAGCTCAGAAGCAAAAATCATAAAAAACCCATGAAAACTTCAATCTTCTCCCTAAAAATCAGCCACTGTCTCTATCACTTAAGACCCAATTAAAACAAACATAAAAAAACTCCTCCATATCCACCAACAATCCAGCCAACAACGCAACCAACAAAGCAGCAAAAAGCTAGCTACAATTAGTCTCAAAACCATCCAAAAGCATCTGAAAATACTTTCAAAATGACCCCAAAACCAGCCTCAAAACCACCCAAAACTCCAAATGCAGCAGTAAGAGAGTGAGACCCAAAGAGCTGAAACCTCTACTATAAAATCATTGGAAATGTTCAGTCCGTCAGGGTCGTCGAGGTCGCCGTTCGAGTGCTCCTGTCGCGGGTCTCGTTCTAGTTCTTTATCTGGGTAGTAATCGCTGGGATTCATGTATTTTGATGACGTTGGGAGCTTTATGTTTTGATATATTGAAGAAGTTTATTTGCTGAGTATAAAGGTTCATTCTCACCTTTCCTATTCGAATTTCTTAATTGCCTTTTTTTTCTAAATTCTTGTTTGTTCACGAATCTTTTCCATGTGTTTTGTTTGGGTTCTGGTAATGCATCTTTGATGAGGAATTTTTGAATGCTTCATTGTGAATGAACTTGGACAACAATAAGTTTTGGGTTTAGTTAGAATCAAAAGTTTTGGTTTTCAACTGTCCCTTTTCAGTATATTAACTATTTTTTTTGAACATAAAAGCACGGTAATATAATTATCGTGCTTTTATGTTAAAAAAATAGTTAATATACTGAAAAGGGATTTTGGCCCGGTAAGGAAATAGTTGGGGTTTGAAATTAGTTATAAACTTATTTTTATCATTTAGTTCCTCATGTGAATAATCAATGCGCTAGCGATTCAAATATCCTGTTCTTAAGTTAATTATCATTTATTTGAAGCATAAATTTTGGTTGTTAAACAAAGTGATTAAAAATAATTGTTGGTAAACATCTGTTGAATTCTTGGTACGAAATAGGCGCATAGGCCACCTGAAAGAGGCGAGCAGTGGTGTCTTGTTTGTTTGGAATTGAGAAGAATTGGGTGGACAAATTTTTTGGTTTTTGGATTAGTTTATCCCTGAATAAGCTAGCCCTCTTTCCCTAATTAATCTACTTTATCCCTTTCACAATAACTTCCATAACTCATTTGCCCTACAACAAATCTCAAAATAGTTTAAGAAAATAATTCAAAACATGCTAATTGCTTTAGGCGCGATTAATAATAAATTATCGTGACTATGGGTGCGGTTCCCGCGGCATAGTCATGATACGTAACTCCAAATTCGAGTGCAAGTTTGTGTGACTTGGCTGCAACTTCAATGTAATTTTAAAAATAAACATGTTGTAAATTGCGGGTGCGTTTCACGTGGCGCAATTTACGGTATATACAAGACGAGAAGTGTACGACATCGTAACTTGTTTTCTAAATAAATTCCATAATTACTTAAAAATAGATGAAAGCGGTATAAAAGCGACAAGCAGAAAAGGTTTCAAAACATGTAATAATTCAGATAATTAGGCCAATTATTAATTGTTAAGCGATCAGATAAACCCCCGAAACTCGAGAGTGCCTCTCACCTTCTTCCGGATTAACAGAATTTCTTACCTGACCTTCTATGTTCGCGGACCATAAATAGAGTCCATTTTCCTCGATTGGGATTTTAAAGTAAATCGGTGACTTGGGACACCATAACAATTATTCCAAGTGGCGACTCTAATTTAAATAAATTGTCACGACCCTAAACTAGGACCCGGTCGTGATGGCGCCTCTCGTGAAGACAAGGCTATCCGAAACTTCCGATTTTCCAATTTATTAGCAATTAAGCATTACGAAACAGTCAAAACATGATAAAATAATCCAAAGTAGCAGATAATATCATAAATATGCGGAAGAACAACCCAACATAGCCCGATACCGGGGTGTCACTAGTCACGAGCATCTATAAAACCTAATACAAGTCTGAAAAATCCACAAACTATTACAAATGTCTGCTAAGAGATGGAAATGATAAAGAGGGAGAAACACGGGACTGCGGATGACGAACAGCTACCTCGTGGACTCCGATATCTGCCGGGAGCTCTTAACTCGCACTGGCAGGATCAACAACGTCTGAATCTGCATACAGGGGTGCATGGAGTAAAGTGAGTACTCCAACTCAGTGAGTAACAAATGTAAATAAAGACTGAAAGCAAGAAATCACATAAGGCACAAAACATTCTATAATGAAGCAGTAATGTGACGACCCGGCCCGTCGTCACGTGAGTTACTGCCCTGTTTCCCCCATTTTTATGCTTCTTCATGTTTCGTTATCGGTATTCGGTGTGTAGAGTTAAATCGGATTGGTTTTGATAAGAAATGAGACACTTAGTCTCTTTAAGGAAAACTTATTTTGGAAAAGTCAACCGCATGTTGACTATTGAGTTAGAGGGCTCGGATGTGATTTTCGGTGATTCGGTTAGCTTCGGGGGTTGATATGTGGCTTAGGAGTGTGATCGGAATTGATTTTGGAGGTCCGGAGTGGAATTAGGCTTGAATTGGCGAAGTTAGTATTTTGGCGAATTCCGGTTGGTAGGTGAGATTTTGATATGGGGGGTCGAAATGGAATTCCGAGAGTTGCAGTAGCTTCGTAGGTGATTTTGGATGTGTGTGCAAAATTTCAGATCATTCGGAGGTGTTTTGGTCGGGTTTTTGATCAAATGCGTATTTCGGAAGTTTTTAAGAAATTTAGGCTTGAATCCGATGTAATTTGATGGTTTTGGTGTTGTTTGTGGTGTTTTGATGATTGGAACAAGTTTGAATGATGTTTTAGGATGGGTTGGCACTTTTGGTTGAGGTCCCGGGGGCCTCGGGGTGATTTCGGATGGTCAATCGGACCAATCTTGGTTTTTGAAGTTGCAGATTTCAGCTGAGTGTTGCAGAACATTTTTGTTCTCTGCGATCGTAGGAGTGCAATTGCGATCGCATAGAAGGTTTAGGGAAGGCCGTTCTGATTGCTCAATGCGATCACGGAATAGGGTATGCGATCGCATAGGTTGAGGAGGTTGTTCATTGCGATCGCATGCGACCGCACAGTGTTAAATAGACCAGAGGTTCTGAGGGGTACTTTGTTCAATGCGATCGCGGAGTAGTGTATGCGATCGCGTAGGTTTGATTGGTGAAGCAGTGTGATCGCAGTTAAGGGGTCGCGTTCGCATAGGACATTTTGGAGGCCTGGGAAAGTTGAGCTATGCGATCGGCGAGGCTTGGATGCGATCGCATAGAGTAAAATCTGGGCTGACAGAAGGGTTTTAATAAACATTTCACCCGCGAACCAAGTCCCATTTCCTCCATTGTTGAGTAACCTTGGGAGCTTTTGACGAGTATTAAAGAGGGTTTTGACTGGGAATCGATTGGAGGTGAGTCCTATGGCCTAGAAACGTCATTTAATTGTAGATTCAACATCTAAATTCATGGAAATTTGATTAAAAAGGGAAGGATTAGGGCTTGACTTTTGAAATAGAAATTTGGGGGTTTGAGGGAGCATTTGAGCTCGGATTTTGGTAAATTTGATATGTATAGACTCGTGGCGAGATAAGGAATCCGGCGATGTCAATTTTCTGATTTTTCGAGAAGTGGGCCCGGGGCTCGGGTTTTGCCAACTTCGTGATTTTCGATATTTTTCGAGTCTTTTCGATTGGGTTGTATTCCCTTAGCCTATTGTAACGTATTACTTGTGGTTTTGATCAGATTCGACGCTCGAGGAGGTTGATTTGCGAGGCAAGGGAGTAGCGAGCTAGGATTTCGGCCTGCTTGAGGTGAGTAATGAATGTAAATGATGTCCTGAGGGTTTGAAACCCCGGATTTGCACATCGTAGTGCTATATTGAGGTGAGACACGAGCTTGATGATGAGCGCAGGTCGTTTACTATTGTGGATTGTGACTTGGTCCGTCCCGAGTGATGCTTCTACTGCGTATTTGATTAAAGCTTATTTGTTATCATCATTATTTGGATTGATTGTCATATTTGTGTTTCTTGCCAATTCTTTGAACCCTCCGGGGAGTTTATTTACTATTTCCTCACTGTTTGACTTGCTACTTGAACTCAGTCGTACCGTTTTCTATTGTCTTACAACTCAGCCACTTTTACTCGATTTTCAAAACTAAAAGATATATTAAATGATGTTTTGGGCTGAGGACTACTATTTTACTATTGCCTGAGGAGCTTATACGATTTTTGGACTGAGTACGGCCAAGGGCCAGATGTGAGGATACTATGGGATCGGGCTGCGCGCCGCAACAGTGTTATACTGATATTGATATGAGGCTGATGGCCTAGATTTGATGCCATGAGATGGCTTGATATTGCGCTTGGGCTACAAGGGGCCCCTCCCAGAGTCTGCACACCCCCAGTGAGCGCCGTCGACGATAAATAAATGGAGCGGGCTGCATGCCGCAGCGGGTACTATAGGGTACCGTTCTATGTGTTGATTTCTCTTTATATGTCTGTCACTTAACTGCTTATTTGTTGTAGTATTTCTACATTTCACTTCCATTGGTTTATTACTCTCATATTACTTGTTTTTAAACTGCCGCAGTGTAGATTACTCTGTGTTTTCCGTGATTTCTTATTCTCAGTCGTTATTTATGCTTATTACTCACTGGGTCGGAGTACTCACATTACTTCCTGCACCTTGCGTGCAGATCCAGGTGCATCTGAGGTTGAGTGAGGATTATTTCAGTTGAGCAGCGCATATCCGGGAGCATCGAGGTAGCTGCATGGCATCCGCAGCCCTGATCTCTCCCTTCTATCCTTGTTATTAATTAGTATTTCGTAGATGGACATGTATTAGGTTGTTAAACTTGTACTAGAGGCTCGAGACTTGTGACACCAGATCTGTATGGGCTATGTAGTGGTATTATCATCTGACTTTCCGCATATTTAACTCGTTGTCTTAAACTCTTATTGGAGTAATTTAGCAATTTAACTATGTTAACTGATAATGATTTTCATAAGAAAATAGAAAGGGTTGTCAGTGGGCCAGGCTTGCCTAGCAATGTGTTGGGCGCCATCACAACTGGGGTTGGGTCGTGACAAGTAAACAATTAAAATAGTAAACCAGTGAAAGATGGTAAAATTCTTTAACTCAAACGTAGTTTCATGAAAAGACTTTTTCAATAATTAAGCAGGAAATTGATAGTAAATTATGAAAAGTAAACACATATAGGCTCGCCCCCCGGGCACAGTATCAACAAATCCGCCCTTAGGGCAACATCTCAGAACAGTAGCAGCCCCTCAGGCAATCATATAGAACAATACCAGCCCCTCGGGCTCAATCTCACATCACAATGGGTATCCGCGCTCACTGGCGGTGTACAAACTCATAGAGGGGCCCCTTACGGCCCAAACGCATTATCAAGACACCTCGTGGCATCATCACTAGGCCCTCGGCCTCATATCAAAACAAGCCACCTCGTGGCGTACATATCTCAGGCCCTCGGCCTCATAATCAGTATCAAATATTTCCTCACAACATAGGCCCTCGACCTTACTCAGTCAAAAATCCTCATAAGCCCCTCGGGCAACAGTAAAACAGTGATTCCCAGCCCAATTATCATTAAAAAAATCATTTAAGTATTTAAAACATAGTAAACATGGCTGAATACGAAAACAGTGAAATATAACATGATTGAGTTCAAGTATAAAGTCAAAACAGTGAGGAAAATACCAGTGAAAATCCCCGAAGGGTTACTCACCTCGAACCGGTCAAATCTCTAGCTCGCGACGCCTTTGCCCCCGAGTCGGCCTCCACTCACGTCGAATCTATCCAAAATCAGAACGAGTACGTCAAAATATGCTAAGGGAACGAAGCCCAAGCGAAAATAATCAATTTACAACGTAAATCCCGAAATTACCAAAACCCGACCCCGGGCCCACAACTCGGAATTCAATAATTTTTACATCAATAGATTCCTTATCTCCCCACGAATTTATACATATCAAAAGTTCTGAAATTCGACCTCAAATGGTCCACCAAATCCTCAATCAAAGGCCTAAGTTCACAAGCCCTAGTTTCCCCAATTTCACCCTTAATTTTCATAATTTCTAGCTCTAATCCGTGAAATAATAGCATATGAATGAGTTTTAGGTCCAAATTCCTTACCTCAATGAAGTTCCCTTGAAATCCCTCTTTCAAATCGTCCAAAAATCTCCAAAGCCGAGATAAAAATGGTGAAATAGCTCAATTTCGCGAATGCCACAATTTATACCTTCTGCCCAGTCATTTCCGCATCTGAGGTCCCATACCCGCTTCTGCAGTACCGCATTTGCAGTCACTTACCCGCTTCTGCGAAAATCACTTAAATTCCCATTTCCGCATCTGCGATACTTTTCCCGCATCTGCGCCTTCACAGGTGCGGCTCCTAACCGCATCTGCGGTTCCTGACAACTCCTCAAAAATCCGCTTCTGCGACTCGTCTCCCGCATATGCGGCGTCGCACCTGCGGTCCCTAATCCGCATGTGCGGAAATACTAGAAGCAGCAAAGTTCAGCAGCTGCAACAAGTCTCAAACCTTTCCGTCAACCATCCGAAATCACCCAGAGGCCCCCGGGACCTCAACCAAGAACACAAACATAACCTAATACCTTATTCAAACTTGTACCAATCTTCAAAACACCTCAATCAATATTAAATCAACCAAAACACATCGGATTCAAGCCAAACTTTCTAAATCTTCCGAATTCCGCTTTTGATCAAAAACCCAACCAAACCACGTCCGCATGACCTGAAATTTTGCAAACACATCCCAAATGACACCACGTAACTACTGCAACTCTCGGAATTTCATTCCGACCCCTATATCAAAATCTCACCTATCAACCGGAAATCGCCAAAATATCAACTTCGCCAACTCAAGCCTAAATCTACTCCGAACCTCCAAAACTCATTCCGACCACACTCCTAAGTCACAAATCACCTCCCGAAGCTTTCGAACCATCAGAACTCACATCCAATCACTCTAACACATAAGTCAACATCCGGTTGACTTTTCCAACTTAAACTCACTCTAAAGAGACTAAGTGTCTCAAACCTTACCAAATCTTTTTCGAACTCGATCCGACCAACCTGATACCACAAACACGGATAAAAAAAGCATAAAGAAGTAGAAATAGGGAAAACAGAGCGGTAACTCATAAGACGACTGGCCAGGTCGTCACATAAATAATTCCATTTCGATTAATGTTACTTTAATTGGAAAAACTCCTTATTCCTTGGAAAAAGGAGGTGTGACAACTCTGGCGACTCTGCTGGGGAATCGAACCCAAAATCTCTGGTTCAGGGTTCAAAATTCGAGTTTAGAATACTTTTATACCTGACTTTTATTTATTATCTAATTTTTAACGTGTTTGAGCGTAATGTCTAAATGCTGCTTTTTACCGCTTTGATATTGTTTGAACTGTATATAAAATTGTTACGATACCCTCCTTCTCTCTGAGTCTTCTAAATCTTCTAGGAAGCGTGTGGTTCGCGTGTCTTCTTTTATGTTAGAGTCATATCCCTAATTTTAGAACGAGGATCGGACAAGTTGCAAAGCCGAAGCTTCTGTATTCTCGATATGGTGCTCCCATCGGCTCGAGTTGTCCGCTCGGGTAAGTCAGGTCTAGAACAATACATCTAGGATTTAAACTTATAATGACATAGTCTCATGCCAGATTCCTAGTAGGTACGTTTGTTTGCATCATGTGCATTTGACTTTGGGGACTCAACACAGGGGTAGGATCCGTCTAAGACAAGTGTACCAAAATTAAAGACCATCCTAATGCATTTTACGTTCTACTTGTGCATTTGTTTGATCTAGTTTGCATGTTTATTGGCTTCTAAAATAGGGAAAGAAATCAAGAAAAACCAAGAGAAAAAGAGTAAGAGAGTGAAATTCACTGGTTCTCATAAAATCTTTGTGTTCGAACTGTGTCAAATTTTACTCAAATGTTGTTGAAAATAGACTGCGATTTTGAAATATTCCCTACTTCTGACCGAACTACGCGGGTTTGATTATCACCGGAACCTCATCGGTTCCGGCCCGCAATTGTTTTTTAAAAAAAATCCATAATATTTTCCTTTACTTCCTTCTTTAGAAAAGTCTTTCTTTGAGACCCCAATTTTAAAAAAATCCAAAAATATATATTTTTTAATTTCTTCTCAAAATCCAAAAATATTTTTATTTTTCTTCAGAAGTTTTTCTTTCGAATATTTGAAAAGAAAATGCAAGTTCTGTAGAAGTTTTTCTTTCATAAATTCAAAATAAAAGTCCAAAAATATTTCCTTTCTTCTTTAGAAGTTTTTCTTTCATAAATTCAAAATAAAAGTCCAAAAATATTTCCTTTCTTCTTTAGAAGTTTTTCTTTCGAAATCCCCCCAATAAAAAAATTTCTTGCTTCTTAGAAGTCTTTCTTTTAAAAAATTCTCAAAAAAATAAAATAAATCGTAATCCAAAAATATTTTCTTTCTTCCTTATAAGTTCTTTTTTCGGAAATTAAAAAAAAATTCAAAATAAAAAAAGAGTTAGTTTATTTACTTTATTCCTAATTTTCCTGAACTTCGTAAGATCTGATTCATGTTCCCACATGATATGTGGGCAACTGTTCGATCAACCATTAAAAAAAATGATAATAATAATAATAATAATAATAATAATAATAATAATAATAATAATAATGATGATGATGATAATAATAACAATAATAACAATAACAATAATAACAATAATAACAATAATAACAACAATAATAACAATAATAACAATAACAATAATAATAACAATAATAACAATAATAATAAAAATAACAATAACAATAACAATAACAATAACAATAACAATAACAATAACAATAACAATAATAACAATAATAACAATAATAACAGAACAATAGTAATACTGAGGTAACAGAAATAGAACAAACCTCGGATGGGACTATTAAGATCAGGTTCAATGAACCCGTTCAAACTTATAATATCAGTTTATCATCTAGATTAATTAGATCAAACTTGTCACGCCCCAAAAATTCCTCCAAAGAAGTCGTGATGACACCTAGTCTCTAAACTAGGTAAGCCTAACATTTACTGTAATAATATGGGTATTTACTAACTTTGCATTAAATTATTCTGAACAAATTACAATTCACAAAACTGGTGGTACAAGTCATAAGCCTTTCTAGGAGTAGTTATACAAAATAAATACATCACTGTTCCGAAACATGAGAACATATGGAAATAAGTACAATTGAAGGTGACTCCGAGGCCTGCGAACGCTGCAACATGTTTACCTTGAGTCTCCACCGCAACGATCCATACAACACTAACGATCAATTACCTGGATCTGTACAAAAAAATGTACAGAAGAGTAGTATCGGCACACCACGACGGTGCCCAATAAGTATCAAGACTAACCTCGGTAGAGTAGTGATGAGGTACAGTCAAGACACTCACTAGTCTAATAACCTGTGCTATATAGCATACAAAAATAATAGGAAGCAATTAACAACGATGTCAACATTATTCAACCAGTAACATAAATAGCAGGGCAACAAGAACACCATAAATATTGTTCAACGAATAATGAATACAAGTGTAATCAATTAGTCAAGTCCTTCAAATATAAACCTTTCGCCTATAAATCCTTCAAGTAATAATCTCTAAGATATAATACTTTCCAATAAATATGTTTCGAATATATTTCCTTCAAATAAACATCTTTCAAAAATATTTCTTTCGAGTAAAGGTCACCTTGTGACGCCTCATTTCATAATCATAAATAATATAGGTCTCAACCCACTTTCATATTTTCACGGCATCTCGTGCCCATATTTCTATTGCAACCACACGGGCAACTCACGTGCCATTAAATAAAATTATCATATTTTTCCCGGCACCTAGTGC